TCTCCTCTTTCCTTTCCTCAATATTATGGTCATTGGGTGAGGGACAAGCTTTAAACAATGCTAGGGTAGAAGTATGGAGGGTCTATGTGAATAGTATTATTTCTATAGTTTCATGTTTTTGGACTTGTTTTTGCTTGTGACTTCATCTTTTTCCTAATTACCATGAATAATTAAAAGTTACATGCACAGGGGATCATTATTGAGGAGGTCAATACATGTCTAGGTTCTGGTTACTTCCTGGCCCATTAATTCTTTTTTTTTTTTTTTTTTTTTTGGTACCAGGGATTGAACTCAGGACCTTGTGCTTGCAAGGCAGGAGGTAGAACCACTGAGCTAAATCACTGGCCTTGGCCCCATCATTCCTAATAGTGAAGAGTCTGGAAAATAAGACTGTTAGCTCCATTCACCAACTTGGCTGTATGTGTATTAAGCTGTGAAAGATTCTGAACCACAACCACCCAGCTGAGCTGCTCCCAGAGTTCTGATTCTCAGCAACTGTGAGAGATAATAAATGTTCGCTCTCTTAAGTTGCTGTATTCTGAGGGTGAATGTTACACATCACCAGGCAGCTGATACACCTGGCAAGATGAAGTACTCGTCTTACCATCTCCAGGGCACCTCTGATAATCCCACAGAGTAAGTTGCAGTAGCACAGAGAAGACCGCCCAGCAGGGAGTTCTTCCACAAACTCCGATAGAGGATTCTTGTCAAGAATCAGGGAAAATTCATTTCTGCTTGCATTGTTACAGGTCACACTTGGTGTAACTCCCAAGTACATCTTGAAAGCCACCTGATAAAGATTTTAAAAAAACACTGTCACTTGTGCAAATATCTATTAGCTGGACCACAAATACCCTGTTCCAGGCATCTCAGCCCAATGATTAAGAGTGTGGAGTGTGGGCTCAGCATTTCTGGGTCCACACTTAGCTTAGCAATTTATCGACTCATGTGAGCATCTGAAATCTATTTATTTTCACGGAATATCCTAATAGTGTTTAAGAAGAGGCTGAAGAGTAAGAACAAAAGGGTTCCAAGATTGAATCTAGAGAGAGCAAACTATAATGAGTACATTAAATAGAGATGGCAGCCAAATTACTGTAGGTGACAAGCCTTTGAGAAGGCACAAGGGGTGATGTTAGGATGAATGTAAATGAGCCATAATGTGATTCTCAGGAACGGCTGTTTCTTTCCAGGCCTCAGAGAGAGATTTACAAATGTATAAATGAAAGAAATGTTGGACGCTATTTATTTTAAACACTTAGTTTCACAATGAGTAAACTGGTGCTTAGAGAAGTAAAATAGCACAATCAAGACCATAGTATAACTTGTTTTCTGGGCTCCTAGTGCAAAGCCTGGATTTTTCACATAGGCCTGGATTTTAAACCTTATTAATTAATAGAAATTTATCAGCTTAGGATGTCACCTTTCAAATGCCTTAATTAATTTTAAAATTAAGAGCAGTGTATAGAAGAGAAATGAAAACTATTTTCTTAAATTATTTATAATTTGAAGTATTAAGAATGGTCTTTCTCTCTTTCTTTTTCTTTTTCTTTCTTTCATTCTTTGTTCAGGTATTTACTGAGCTCTGCTTGATAAGCACAGTACCTGGCACATGATGGGAATTCAGTAACCATTTACAGAACAAATTATAGAATGAGTACCCAGTCGCCGTTTGACACCATGTCAAGACCCAGAATACTTGGATACTGAATAAGCATTTTCAGGGGAGACAAGGTGGAGAGCCGGCAGGGCAGAGACAGCCTACGTAGTAGGGATGCACCATGGCGTGGAACACTGCAATGAGGTTCAGGGGACATCCACATCAATCAGCTTGCGGACAGTGGGGAACCCTAAAGAGGAGATCAGGCTAATGCAGAATCAGATTCTGTTTTAGAGGACTCCCTTCATGTTGCATGGAAGATGAATTTAGCGATGGGGTGAGGTGAGCATGAGGTCATAGGGAGATACACTAATCAAGAGGTTACCCTGAGAGTCTAGGAAGGAAATGGTAAGGATTCTCTCATTTTGTTTCTTCTTCAAAACTTAAACCCTCCTTAAACGTTCCCATATAAATTTCAAGTATCTCCAATCCCTAAAAATGGCTTAATTTTCTAATCCTACCCAGTTTAAAAAGGTATAAAACGAATCCCTGCCTTCCAAATCTGAAGTCATATAGCTAGAGAAAAAACTTTCATTGTGAAACTCTGGGTTTGGAGATTTCGTTTGGATCCCAACAAACTGGCTGCTAATGTTGATTCATTCTGCTGGAAAATTCCTAGGCTATTACTCGTGTGAGTGAGAATTTCTTTCTGATTTTCCATCTAAGGCACATAGAAATAATATTAAAAAGAAGGCTGTGCATTTTGATTTACTGTACTTCTCAGCATTTAGGCTGCTGTTTCACGGCCCAGTATCTACCAGTAGGAGGCGTTATCTGAACACTGTTGGGAAACATGCATTCCTAGTGAATGACATTGTTTTTTTATCTGGCTGAATTCAGCCTGAGACTTGAGGACATTACTTCTAATGAAAGAAGAACTCCACCCTCGTCGACTGCCACAGCCACTGCCACAGCCCCAGTCACAGCTGCTGTTTCAAAGGCAAAGGCAAAGCATTTTCCCTCTCTGTGCATCTCCAACATGGATGCTTTTCAGCCCATTGTAAAATTCTTTCTTAACCAGAAAACTGCTATTGGCTACAGTTTCATGGCTCTGCTGACTTTGGGAAGTGAGCGTCTCTTCTCACTTGTGGCTTTTAAGTGTCCCTGCAGCAGTGAGAATATGGCCTATGGGCTGGTGTTCCTTTTCGCTCCTGCCTGGGTGTTACTGATCCTAGGATTCTTTCTTAACAACCAGGCATGGAAGCTTTTCACAGGCTGCTGTGCAAATCCCAGGAAAATCTTCCCCAGGGGCCACAGTGGCCATTTCTTCTTTGTGCTTGGCCAGATCACACTGAGCTCATTGGTGGCTCCAGTAATGTGGCTTTCTGTGACTTTGCTTAACGGAACTTTTTATGAATGTGCCATGAGTGGGACAAAAAGCTCAAAAATCCTGGATCTGATTTGCAAGGGCAGGCCCAAAGAGTGCTGGGAAGAACTTCACAAAGTCTCTTGTGGCAAAACCAGCATGCTCCCCGCGGACAATGAAGAAGTGAGATTGTCCCTGCAAGCCCAGTCTCAGGTAAGAACAAACTCACCTCTTTCTCCCACCATGAGCTTGAAGTTTTCTGTCTGTCTTACTCTCAGCCAGGGCTGAGTCAGTATGCCAGGATATTTTGAAACTAAGTGGAAATAAGAACATGATGTACTGGTAGCATTAAGACAATCTCAGGAAAGCTTTCTGGAGGTTGGATGGCTCAGTAAAATTGCTGATTGGATTATATCTTTTCCATTTCCAAAAAGAAAATATCCTCTGGGTTATGCATATGTAAATACTTAAGTACTTTAAAGCTGTCTCTCTGGGTTGACTTTGTAAATAATGTATAACACCAAATCATAAAGTGAGTATTAATGGCTGACTATAATTAAAAATTACTGCCTTCTATCCATTATTCATTTTCAAACCAGTTTCTTAGAGAAACACAAACACATGCACCTATTAAAATAGAGTTGAAACAAATAAACTAATATTTTTTAAAGTTTCACGCAATATAACTAGTGTAGCAATTCCTTTGAATGGTTTTCAGCCACTGCTGTTTCTATGTATAAATACTTTCATGATTGAGAAGAATTTCCCATATAAACTATGACTCAGTAGTCTTTAAATAGCCATCAGTGAAAAGTGGCCATATTCTCTAGGGAGATTAGGTCTTTTTTCTGCACTGTTGAACTAAAGTTCTTACATTACTTCAGATGCTCAAAATTCAAGTTGTTTTATTTAGCAGGAGGAAATCATAGCTTCACCTAATTGGTGCAGGAAAATAGCTTGTCTCTCCAGATAGCTGAACACAAATCAGATGGATACCCCTGCCCTGGACTTTAGAAAAAACAGACACCCTATAGTCATTCCTAAAACCAAAACAAGGAGTACCAGAAGGTAAACAGATTTGCATTTGTCAGGAATACTACTTATTTCAAAATAAAAGCTCCAAAGAAGTAGTTTTACCTTTTCAACAAGGATTTGCATTTATAGCATATCAAGGCAAAGTCTGTCCTTAAAATCGTACATTCCAAAGCTACTGGAAGTGAAGTCATACTCTATGAACTGATAAGCCAAAAGTGTCCCAAAACAAGATCTTCTGTTGAATGAGCAAAGCACATTTTAGATAAAATATGTCAGGCTCCCTTTTGTTGAAGGAATGTATTAATTACAAATGTTATGACAGAATGAATAATTTATGTTTGATGTCCTCAGGCAGTGCCATATCCAAACACTTATCACTGTGTAAGCTTTTCTTCTCTAAACACAGGCACAAGATTTTAAATCATACACATTCTGTCATAGCCTAGACTGGGCACAATCACCTGTTGACTTTTCAGCAGAATGAGAAGGACCTGGGGCTGATTCCTATGGGTGGATGCCTGAAAGATGTGGATGAAAGGAGTTGTGGCAACAGCAGGTGCTGACCGTGACACTGATAACAGGAGGCAGCATACACTCCTGGCCAATAACTGGGCATGTGGGTGGGGGTGGAAAAAGTGCATTCATCTATGGGTGGAGTGGAACAAGAAATCCAGCTGGATGATTCTCTGTTCTTAAGGGTGTTAGAATGGAGTAGTGGAAGAGCTCAGCCTTGGAGGTGAACTTCGGTTTGATTGAGATGCTGTTATTCATGAGCTATGTGACCTAGAGCTAGAGGTTCTACCTCTGTGAGACCTAGCCTGGTGTGGCACAGTACAAGTACGTCCCTGAAGTGTTGGAAGGGTTAGAGACAATGGACATAAATGGGCGTAAAGCATACAGTAGATATTTCAGGTTGATGAGAAAATTGTAAGGGTTTGGGGAAGGAGACTCACACAGAACAGGACACGACTGAGAACTCTGTTGAGGGAGCCTCCAGCACACTCTTGTTGGATTCTGGGCGTGGTGAATGGGGGTGGCAACATGAGGGACAAGAAGTTTCAGAGGTCAGGACTCAGGAAGGCAAGTCAGTGCTAAGGTCATGTAGAGGTGGGAAGGCATAGGAAGCTGGCCAGATAGTTTATAACTCAGCTAAAATTAGCTCAGATTCTGAGATAAGATGGCTGAAGAGAGGACCAGTTTGGAAAATGAGGAAGGTAGATGACAGAAAAAGGAAGAGCTGAGGTAGACAACCACAAACCCATAAATGATTCAAGCTAAAGATGAGAACTTTCACATGATGGTAGCTGTACCTCCTCACTCACTAGTCATAGGCACAGAGGGAGATTACGAGTTCAGTAATGCTTTTACACAAATGTATATACATTTAAAAATAGCAGTGGGTGTTGTAACTACCCTCACTGAATGCACTTGTGTGTTCAGCATTATTTCACTAGATTCCCCCAAATACCCTCTGAGATGAGGCACCCCCATTTTACACCTGAGGAAACAGAGACATAGTAAGGGAGAAGGAGGTTTAAAACCAAAGAATGCCCATCCCTGGTAAGCATTCACATGAAGAGTGCAACCCTTCTCTCCAACCTCCTCTCTGAGCCACAGTTTTGTAGCCGTTTGTCTGGAGCTCATTTGTGGTTCTGTTATGGTCTAAATAGATTCATTTGCAGATTACTGTCTCCATTCTCAAATGAGCCCATCTGTCAAAGAATACTAAAATCATTCTACATTTTCAAAGAGATCTTCTAGTTGGGCAAATATAAAATTAATTCCATTTAGAAAAAATAATTTGAATCACAAAATGTATTTAGAAGATATGTTGAACTACATAGCCTTTCTTTTTAAAATTAACAACAAAACAGAAACAGAAACATCAGGTCCATTCATATTAAGAAAAAGTGTTTGTTTTTTAACTACTAAAAATCAGAGCAAACAATCTTCAAGGTTTGGAATGACTCTTTTTCCTCAGCATTTAGACAGGCTCTAAATTATGCTAGCTTTAGCCTCCTGTTGTGTTGCGTTTGTCTCCCTTTACCATGAACAGTGAGTAATGGCCTTTGTACCAGAGAGTGTTACTCTAAACAATGTCACCTGGGAAAAGTGGGTCACCAGCCTTATACACGTCTGTCAGTGCCTAGGAGTATGTGGCTAATTAACTGGTCAGGTGTGCCCAGAAAGCCATCATTACTCCTGCACAGAATTCTTTCTTCTAAAAGATATACTATTTGAGTACTTGATTTATCCAATTCTTAAATAATTTATTTTTTAACTTTTTTCCATTTGCTAGTCTTCTGTTTATTTATTTTTGGCATAGCAACAATATTGGGTAAGAGAATAGATATTAGATAAACTTTATTTTGACTGATAGAAAAGTGTCTACCAATTACCATAAGTGATTTGAAATGAGGAATGGTAAGGACTGTGGTATTAATTTAGCTATCCACTTCCTAATAATACTGTCTCAGTTTCCTGAGACCTGAGTTTGCTTTCACATGTCCTCAATATTTCTTTCTTCCTAAGATTCTAGGATGGTTCCTGATTTGTTCAGCATCCTTCTTTTCTCTGCTCACCACTTGCTATGCTCGCTGCCGATCTAAAGTCAGCTATCTGCAGCTGGATTTTTGGAAGACATATACACAGAAGGAAAAGGAGCATTTGGAAAATACATTTGTGGATTATGCCAACAAGCTGAGTGAGAGGAACCTGAAATGCTTTTTTGAAAACAAGAGGCCAGATGTCTTTCCCATGCCCACCTTTGCTGCTTGGGAGGCTGCTTCAGAGCTGCATTCTTTCCAGCCAAGCCAGCAACATTACAGCACCCTCCACAGGGTGGTGGATGATGGGCTGGAACCCTGCCCACAGGACGCCGAGACCATGATGATTCTTGTGGGCACTGCCCAGGATCTGTAGTTCATCTGCCATCACTGGCTCACAGTGCTCAGCAATGCATCCATTCTGAGAGCCTCCTGCCGAACCCACAGCGGCCTTGTATCTTTGTATCTTCTCATAGTTAGAACTTTTTTACTGAACTGGGACAAAAGGGAAACTTCTTTGAAGTTCTCAAGTGCAATAAATGTCAGGACAAGCTCAAATTGATGCGGATGATGACCTTGCACGGATGGAGGATTGGGTTTAGGAGGTCCAAACATTGCTCCAAGTTCTAAGATTTTATGATTCAGCAAATAGCTTTATGCAAGAGGCTCCACCACTCTGTGTAAATATGAGTCATGGTATCTGGGGGCTGAAGCAGTGGCTTCTGAGGGAGTGAGATACTCTGAATGCAAATTGCTGAATCCAGTGGCAGCCAAGGCATTGTCAGAAGGAGTCCTTGCTGTGTAAATCTAGCCCAATCTAACCTATGCCTTTCAAGGTGTATGAAATTCTCCCATTTGAAATTCTTTCCCTCAGAATCAAAAGACCTCAGTTCTCACAAATGGCCAATTACAAGAACATGAAGTCTGAAATTCAGAGATTTCTACATGTTTCCAGCGTATGCTGAAAGTATGTCACTGAAGGTGGGCTGCTTCATAAGGCTGTAGGCCCTGGGCACTTTCTCATTCACAGACCAGTTTTTACACACGTATGTGACTGTCTTGATACAAATACAAATATATATATTTGAACACTTTACTCAACCTAAAATTTCATTTATTGTATCCCAAATTTAAAATTCAAAGCACTCTCATGGGCCTTTACGTGGCATGATGCCTACTGTGTCACTAGTATGTCTCAGTTGGTTTGGGTTACTGTAATAGTGTCACACACTAGGTGACTTATAAACCACTCAGATTCATTTCTCACAGTTCTAGAGGTTTGGAATTAGGGTGCTGCATGTTCACCTTCTGATGAGGGCCCTCTTCCATTTTGCAGATTGCGGAATTCTTGTTGAACCCTCCCACAGTGGAAAGAACAAATAGGCTCCTCCGGACACCTTTTTAGAAGGACACCAATCCCATGTCTGAAGGCTCTGCCCTTGTGATATGATTACCTCTCAAGGCAGGAAGACCTTCTAATAGCCTTGGGGTTTAGGGATCCAGCATATGAGTGGAGAGGAGGGGTACAGATATTAAGACTATAGCAGGGTAAAAAGATCTGGGAACACTGACCAAAGTATACTAGTAATTAAACTATTTTGCAGTTTTGCACTTATCAGAAATGATGCAAATTTTGCATTCTACTATGTAATATATATATTCATGCTGGTGTGTGTGTAAATTCTCCTTGAGTGGAATTGTGCTTGTGGAGGAAAGACCATGTTATTCACTGTGGCTTGCACCTGGCATGACTGGGAATCCATAGCTCTGGATTTGAGAAATCTGGATATTAGCTGCTTATTGCCATGAAATATGATAACAGATGGAGGCTACAACCCTACAGGTATAACACCCAGAGCATATCTGTGATGTTGTGTCTTATAAGAAGAAATATATATTGTGTCTTCATGCTCATTCCTGGCACAGAACTTCTACCAACCTTGGAATCTCCACAGGGTGTCTTAGTATGCCAATGAGGTGACAGGTGGCTCTTGGATAGGCTCAGGATGGGAACTGGCTGCTGGAGGAATGGCTATGTGATTAGAAGATTGAAACTTTCAGCCCTATCCTCAGACCTCCTGGGAATAGAGAGAGGCTGACCATTGAGTTGGTCACTATGGCCAATAAAGTAATCAATCATGCAAACATAATGAAGCTGCCACAACACCCTCCAAAGAACAGGGTTCTGAGTGCTCTAACACATGGGAGGTGGCATCAGCAGAGGAGGCATGGAAGGTCCCCTATCCCTTCTGCCCACACCTTGCTCTCTGCATCGCTTCCATTTAGCTGCACCTGAGTGCCTTTTATATGAAACAAATAATAGAAACTCCAGCCCTTTCATGAGATCTGGGAGCCTCTATAGCAAATAATTGAACCTGAGAAAGGGCTCATGAGAAACTGATTTGTAGGAGAGAGATAGAGATAGAGATAGAGAGATGAGAGAGAGAGAGAGAGAGAGAGAGAGAGAGAGAGAGAGAGAGAGAGAGAGAATTAGGTGTGAGGGGGCAGAAAAGTCAAAATAAAGAGAGAGAAAATTCATTAAAGACAAATCCTTCTCCTTAGCCCTTCTTGACTTGAAAGCACT